TCCAAACTTCTATGAGAATGGTGCATTTAAGCCCTGCTCAGTATTCAAAAGCTTCACTAGTCCACAGCTCCAAACGGTTCCGGAGAACCAAACGGGCAGCCTTTTCACAACCATGGCTCTACGTCTCAGTACCAATGTCCTCCCTTAGTGACTCTTCTCCTTGCAGTGACAGACGAAAGTGACTTAAGAAGTGAAGAGTTTGTTTTGAATGACATCCCGGAGATGCTGTCCAGCATGGAGCCAATGCATGGCAGCTGACCCCTCTGCATCTGGTCAGGCAGCGGAGAGCAAGGAACGCTGGTGCTTGGTTTTCTTTCTCCTTTCTCTTCAGTTTGGAACCCCAGCCCACGGAATGGCACCACTCAGATGTAGGTTGTGTTTTCCAACCTCACTTAATATAATTTAGATACTTCCTCAGTGTGACCAGAGATTTATTTCTATGGTGATTCTAAATCTCATCTAGTTGATGATCAAGATGAACAAACAGGAGGCTAAAAGTCTTTGGCTGTATTCTAGTCAAGAAAATGATATCAATTATAGGGATGGCTTTCTATGCCACTAATAGGGCGCGGTAAGCCTGCAGAACAGATTTGAAAGAGTGTTATCATTGTACCACCGCTGTACTCATTACGATGAATGCAATCAGTCGCATGAAATACTTGCTCATGCTCCATTATAACATCAGATGAAAGTCAGTGCTCACTGTAATCAACTTTTAACACCCAGACCTCTACCATTGTACAGTCAAGATCTGCTCAGAGACTCTAATTATCATGCCTGCCTTAGTAAGACACAAAAGTCTTCATAGCTGGGTAGTTTCATAGACAAATGAAATTAGTTGTTCACAGTTCTGGAGGCCTAGAAACCCAGGCTCCAAGCGCCATTAGATACAGCTCTTGGGAGTTCCTGTGCCTTACGCAAGGCTCGTGCATCCTCTCAGGATAGAAAATGAGGGCAGCCTCTCTGGGGTCTCTTTTCAGAGTATTAATCCCATTTCTGGGAGTGGGGTCTTCGTGACCTTCACCTCCCAAAGACCCCACATTTGCATGTCTGTTGCCTGGGGGATTATGTTTCAACGTGAGTTTGAGAGAGTACAAGTGTATTCATATCCAAGTATAACCTAAATCCAACCCCTGATTTTCCCCCAAAACCTGGTCTTGGGAGCTGTCTAAGCTAAAATTTGACTGCCTCCATAGGCATCTTTTCTTTCACCTGGTCCCCTGGCCATTGGGAGGTCCTGTTTACTGTGCCTTTAAAGTGCATCTGCGATTCTAATTCCAGGTGGCCCCTGTTTCGTCTGGAACCCAAGTCACCACCCACCTGTGCTGGCCGCCAGTCTCCTTCTTGCCTCCTTCCCATTCTTATGTCTCTTCTCCAATTCAGGAGACAACTTATCTTAGCAAGTGGTGAGGTCACTTCTCAAACTCCTCCCCATGACCTCTGCTCCCCCCCCCCCAGGGCTTTTCCGGTGCCTCTAAACAGTACAGCTGCTGTGCTCACAGAAGAGTCTGTCCTTTCCGGTCCCCACTCCGAGCCCGTCTCCTCAGTTTTCTGCACACCTCACTTGCACTAAATCTGGGCTCAGACTTCTTCCTGTTTCAGCCTTATGAAATAATCAAAATTATAACCATCCTCAATATCACCTACTATGAGTCTGGAATATCATCTATGTATGTTATTGATTAATTACTTCTATCTTACCCTCTTTCCCTAACAGCAAGGAAGAAAGTAATTTTAAACACACACACACACACATATCATGTGTATATGTTTATGTATGTGTATGTATATAAATTTATATGTGTGTGCATATGTATATATGCATATATGCGTGTGTATGTGAAACATATACCTATATATGTATAAAGTATATGCACTATATATGTAAAAGGACATATACACATACATATATGTGAACATGTGTGTGTACATTCCTATATGCAAACATATGGATGTTTACACACAAAGCATGGATTAGGCAAAGTATCCTCTGAATGATATTTTTCTTAAAAACTAGTTCCTGCCAGGAACTATGAAGACAAAGCACAGTTCTAAATACTGAGTTCATCACAAAGTTACCTCAATTCCTAAAGTACACACATGAATGCCAACCAAATACAACAATGGCAGTACTTGTACACAAATATTTCCCCACTTAGAACTCAAATCCTAGAAAAATATTTTCTCCATGTAGGTAACCTGAGCTGACTAGTGATGACATTGATGCATTATTAGCCTGAAGGACTCCTGTTGGGGAATATTAACTACTGTGTGTTCCCTCTGCTTATGTTGCACTTGTTTAACTCTGGGGAGCTATGATCCTTTGCTGTCTAAAACACTTGATGCTCATAGTAAAGAGCTGAACAGCCAATAGCAAGGCAGGAGAGAGAAACAGGCGGGCTGGCAGACAGGATAGATATGAGTAGAAATCTGGGAGTAAAAGAGATCTAGGAATGAGAGGAGGAGGAGGAGGAAGGCTTCAGGAGCCGGCCACTCAGCAACCTAGTGAGACACAGAGTAAGAAGGAAGGAAAATCTATTCAGGAATAGAGAAAGATAAAAGCCCCAAGGCCAAAGACAGATGCAATGATTTAAGAAAAACTGGCTAGAAACAAGACAAGCTAAGGCTGGGCATTCATAACTAAGAATAAGTCTCCGTGTGTGCTTTATTTGGGAGCTAGGTGGTGGGACCCCCCAAAAACCTAAAGAATAAGGAGTAAAACATCACACAACAGACTCCTTCAAATAAGTGTAAACATGGCACGGGAAGATCTGGAAACACGGCACAGGACAGAAGTAAGCACCTTAAATTTCAGTTACGGTTCTCTGTAACCAATGGACTTGATCTTAGCCGTACCAAACCAAAGCACAGAAGGCAAAATCAGAATGATGGCAGGATTTAGCTACATCCTTCCTGGGCCTTACATACAATCTACTGTGATGTAGTGCAGACAGGAGCCAACAGAAAAAAGACCTGGAAGCTATTTTTGCAAAAAAAAAAAAAAAAGCAAAGGCACCAGGCTGGCTGTGCACAGCCTACCTGCTATGGTAAGGTGGTTGTCCCTACAAACCAACCACACACACAGGCAGCCAGAGCAGCCTGAACACAGCAGCCACGTGGCACATGAGGTGGCACCAGGCCACGCACAGCCTAAATTAACAAACCACTTTGCTTCCTTCTTGGTTTTTGCTAAGAAAAAGAGCTTGCTGGTTTGACCTTAAGATGACAATGTAGGTTTTTATCAATTATATAAGTGTATTTGAGGAAAATTTGTTCCTGCAAAATTTAAAGGAAAGTCGACGTGTTACTCACATCTGTTCTCCTGCCTTCTAGATCTGGGAGAGAGAACGCATCAAAACACTAAATACCACAGAGCTCCCAAAAATAGGACTTTGAAGCCCTAGATGAGAGCACTAGCGATTTACTGTCAAATTTTCTCTTGGAACAAGGAAAATTAAAGGCAAACCCAGTTAGTAAAATGTGTCTAGAATTTTCCAAATTTAGGCAGTTCTTCCCCTCCCTTACGTTTTAAGCACAACAATCCAGTCCCTACCATATGCCCTTCTTACAAGGGTGCATCCTTGGATTCAAGTTTTTGGGGGCCGGTGCTGACAAGCAATGCCAATCCCACAAAGGCAGTGGTTCTCAACCTGTAGGTTGCGACCCCTTCCGGGATTGCACATTAGATATGTTACGTATGCATATGTATGTTACCTTACAATTCATAACAGCGGCAAAATTACATCTTTGAAGTAGCAACAAAAAAAATCATTTTATGGTTGGAGATGATCACAGCATGGGAACTGGATTAAAGGTTGAGAAAACTGCTCTCAGGATCCCTGTGAATACAGTTAGTTGAAGCATATAAAACTCTAAACCCACTACGGAGAGCTTGACAATTGCTCAGGAAACGGTCCCATAGATTCCTCTGCTTCAATCGGGCTCATTTATTGCATAAAATGAATAAATCAACTTTTAAACAAAAATCACCGCATTCCCATCCATTTCCAAACAAATCAGGAAAACTTCTAAACCATTTAACCCTGGAGCAGCAGATAGGCCGCTTCTGCTCCCAGCTAGAAGTGTGGTGGCAGACCCAACTCGAAGAAAATAGAGATGACAGCGTGGAGCCTGTGACTCCCCTGGAGTCGACTCCATCCTCTCTGCATCTTGGAAGCTCCCTCAGCTCTCTGCTGGCATATTTCCTTCTACCTACTCCTCTCCCTTGCACTTTATTCTCTCTAGCCACTCAAAGGACACCACAATCCCATCGCCAGTACTCACAGGCTCACCTCTGGGCTGATCCCACACTACGTAGCCCATCTTCTTCAGCCTGCTAAACCATGAACTAGCGGGACAACTGTGAGTGGCCTGAAAAGGGGCAAGCAGCCGTAGTCAGTTCTATGCCAACCTTCTCGCTGCCGAGACTGCCAGTGTTTCTCGCAAGTAAATAATAACCGCTCTGCTGAAAAAAAAACGACGGAAAGTCAGGGCGAGCAAATAGAAGGAAGCCGTTGTAACGTGCAGGTCCTCACCTTAAAAGGCAGACAGATCTTTATGTGTAGTCCTTGTGTGGGTCAGCTTGAGCCCTTGCAGCCGGGACGGGACTTTCACTGTTGCAGAATACAGCGTGCGTCCGTGGGACTCTGGGTTTTCCCTCAACCCAGCCTCTTTCCAAGCTCCTGGTGCAATCAGTTTGGGGCTTTGCTGTTGTTACCTCCTGACCTCTTGGAGCAATGAGATTGACAAGGAACCCCTAAAGCTACTACTACTTCCATCACTGACCCATACAGGGGAATTCACATCTGTTACCAACCAGTATCATAAGACAGCCCCTTGGAAAATCTGTCTTGAGACAAAACCTGGCAAGACCTGGTGTGCACTTCTCTCTCTCTCTCTCTCTCTCTCTCTCTCTCTCTCTCTCTCTACACACACACACACACACACACACACACACACACACACACGTCTATGATGGTGTGAACAAGCAGCCTCCTCACCAAATAATTTTGCCATGCCATAGTTAGCCATTAACTGCCAGGGGAGCAGGCTGGAGCAGGAACACTTTGCTAGCCAACGGCTGAGAGGACATGGGCCACCCCCTGGGTCTCGGTAGCTGCTGAGCTCTTGGGTTTGGCATCAGTCTACAGACTTCTCCAGGAATGTGGCTCTGTTCAAATCCTCAGACTCCTTTTCTTCTTCCCAGAGCAAAAGGCAACGCACCACCAGGAGGGTCTTCCGCTGCTCAGCTCGCTCGGGTCAGGGCTGACCAACCGCCCTCCAACAGACTCCAACTGCTCTCTCCAGGTCCGAGCGTATGCCCTCCACACTGCTGACATCACAGCTGATCCGGAATCTTCACCTCACCACACCCCACACATCCCTCCCCGACCAGAGACCCAACACCTTGACATCAGCCACCCCTTCACTCCTCAGGGAGCCCACGGAGGAGGACACATAGCATTTTCAGACCTACAGATTTGGGGAGAGACTGCCAAGATGGCCTGCAGCCTTCCCAAGAGGCCAACCATAGTGAAAGGGTGGCCCTTCGGTGTACAGTTCTGAAGAGAGGCTGTCTGTGATACTGTAATGAATGGGTTCTCTGTGAGGTGAGGTTTGGGGGTTGGGTTAGAATGATGGGAAGGATGGGAAAGCGTCCTTTGAAGCGCTGCACCCGTTTCTCGCTGCTGTCCACCGACCTCCCCGTAGAAGAATGACATTCACAGATTTCCTCACCAGGCTTTTCGCGAGCAGGATGTGTGTCCTACGCTGGCCTTGAGACTGCCGCATCACCCCACAGCAGGCCCTGCAGGGCCTATTCAACTGCTTTTAGATTCATTCTAAACTGCATTCAACACATGGTCATATCAGGGTAATCAGCAGTTGGTATTTTACTCTGGGTGTAGAATCCTTGTCTGCAATTCTAGCACTTGGGAAGCTGAGGTGGGATCCGGAGTTCAAGGCCAGCTTCTGACACTTAGAGAACTCACTGTCAACATAGGCTACTCAAGGTTCTGTCTCATAAAACAAAGCAAAAGGGACTGGCAATCCTGCTCCTACTCTGTGCCCTCCACTCCCACCTGATGACTGAAGACTGAGTTCTTAGGAATATCTTAGGAGTATCTGATGTGGAAAGACGTGTTAGCCAGATGTGGTCCACGCATCTGGGGCCTGATTTCAGGAGGCTTCAAAGTGCTGGTGCCACCTGGGTGCATAAAAAGACCTAGTTTTTATCTCCTCCCTGCTGCCCCCCAAAAGTAAAAAGGGAAAAGAGGAAGGGAGGAAGAAAGAAATTGAACTGGCAGGCTCCTTAAGACCTGTGTGCCTTATCTTTCTAGCACACTTCAGAAAGATAAAATAGAAGGTGGAATACTTTCTTTAATTTTGCCACATACAAATAGACTAAATATTGTAACGGTAATTCTTGCTTGATTCCTGTTTTGTTATATGTAATTTTACTATGTTAAAGCCAAAACCTACCTTTTTGTTTAGACAGAAAAGAGAAGATAATATAGGGTGTTCTTCTGTCTATGTGTTACTTGTATTGGTTAATGAATAAAACTGTTTCAGTCAGTGGCTTAGTAGAGTGAAACCAGGTGGGAAATCTGAACAGAGATATAGGAAGAGAATAGATGGAGTCAAGGAGACACCATGTAGCTGCAGAAGGAGAAACATACGAAATCTTTCCAGTAAGCCACAACCTCATGGTGATACACAGATTAATAGAAATGGGCTAATTTAAGATGTAAGAGCTAACTGGGAGCATGCCTAAGCTATTGGCCAAACTGTGTTTTAATTAACATAACTTCTGTGTGATTATTTGGGTCTGGATAGCCGGGAAATAAATGATCGTGCAGTCTCCTTTTACACAATTTATTGTCATTATTTACCAGTCCTGAAGATGTCACTTCTGCATCTAGCTAGCAGTCAGCTTCTGGTGCAGTGCTTCTGACTTTTCTTGTGGCTGTATTGGTTCCTAGATACAGTTCCTACTCAGGGAGTCCCTTCATACAGTCTACACTGCCTCCTCTCAGAGTGGCCAAACAGAAAGAATCCCACAACTAAGGGGCTTGATCTAATCAAAAGCACTTAACTTGGCTTTGTCCTGCCTGCAGCATTTACACACAAGATGATAACAAGCAATGGGGAAAACCTCACTATAAATCAGTATTTTAAAATCAGACTCACAGGCCATGTAAAAATTGATGAGAGAAGTGTATCTTCTGCTCTGAGCATTCAGCTGCCTTTTGTTTTACTTTCTGATTCATACACCACGCCTTGTGTGTGTGTGTGTGTATGTGTGTGTGTGTGTGTGTCTGTATTCCTGTGTCTGTGTGTTTATATGTGTGTCTGTGCCTGTGTGTATGTGTCTGTGTGTACGCTTGTGTCTGTGTGTGTGTGCCTGTGTGTGTATGTGTGTGCGTGTCTGTCTGTGTCTGTCTGCTGAGATGCATGAGGAGGTCAGATGTTCTTCTCTTATTCTCTACCTTATTTTTGAGACTGAGTCTCTAACTGAACTGGGTGTTCAATTGGCGAAACTGCCTAGACAACATGTTCTGGGGACCTTCCTGTCTCTACCTAACCCCACCTCCAGGGCTAGGATTGCAAGCATGCACCTGACACACCCAGCTGGTGCTGGGAATCCCAGCGTGGGTCCTCAGGCTTGACTGTCCCAGGCTCTCTGCCAGCTGAGCCATTTCCCCAGCCCTAGGCTGCTATCTACTGTTCTTCTCATTGCTCCGGGGGTCTCCAGCAACCTCCACAGCCTCTGACAGTGACAGGAGTCAGCAAGTGGAGCAGGACCAGCAGCCAAGTCCTCCTGACCCACCGTGCATCACCGCCTGCCCTGTTCCCCCTTCTAGATGCCACCCACCCTCATGACCCACCCACTCATCCTGGCTCTCACACCTTTTCTCAATAGAGCTCTCCAGAATGCAGGGCCCAGCCTGTGGGAGGTGGCCTAGAGAATTAGCCTCTTTGCCTCTCTGGCTAAGTGGTTCCTCTTGAGGGAATTTTCAGTCCTAATGGAAGACTCGCTCCTAGGGAAATAAATGCTGTGAGAGTACTCTCGCAAATGCGGTCTCAATCTCCACGAGGCGAAGGGTGAGGCGTAAGAAGAGATCTACCAGGAAACCGAGCGTCAAGGCCCCACACTTGGACCCGGTCAAGGTCTGGAAAGGGGCCTACGAATGAGAAATCTGCAAAGAACGGCAGCTTTGCATTCTTTCCCCTAAGGAAAGCGTGTGTTCGATGGGCATTCAAAGCCCAGGACTTCTGCACCACGTCTTTAAAAAACGATCAGGCTCACTTCAGGGCACCGCTCTCAGTCCAGGTCATCTTTTCTGCGTGACCGTGGAGGCTGCTTATCCCAGAATAGAAAGCGGGTTGAATTTATAAGGGGTTACAAGAGACGTCAAATCAAGTTACATCTCGAAAAAGGACAAAATAACCACATGATGATAGGTTATGACAATTGCGCCTCCCTTTCAAGTGTGCCTCGAGCAGACCATAGGCCCAGGAAGTTCTTGGAGCTACAGGTATGAGCCCAAGGCAGCCCCTGGTATTTGTCACAACTGAGCGCGGCACAGTAGTGACCTAAGGGTCAAGGAGGCCGTGACCCACGTGGAAGTGAAGCAGGAAGTAGTCACAACAGGAGCTGCAATGGTTAGTAGCACAGTGACACCTCCAACAACACCCTCCCCGCCTTGGCTGCTGGAGGCATTCTAGGGAAAACAGGAAATGACTAGTGAAGGCATCTGAGCAGCAGAGAGAGATTTCAGAGAGCAGGAGTCTTTAAGACACTTCGTTCTTCCTCAGACACTCCAAGTTCCTCCCACACTGTTCAGACGCAGCCCTTCGCCTACAAGAGTCTGGGGCTTCCCAAAGCCTGCACCCGAAGCAGTGTTGCTTCCCTGCAGCCCCCGCCCACTGGTGCCTGACACAGAAACAGGACCCAGCACGCAGAGGAAGAGGGCACACTCAACTGTGGGCTTTGCTGTGTGTAGAGGGGCTGGGATGAACCCAGAGACTTGTCACGCCAGGCAAGCACTCTGCCACTGAGCGGCCACCAGTCTTTATGTGCTGTGCTGAAGAGGCATTTTCTTTACAATAGTGAGAAATCTGACTTCAATGTTCATCCAGTAAAGATTTAAAAAAAGAAAGAAAAGGAAAGAAAAAGTAAAAGTAAGATGAACAAATGAGCCAATAGTGGCCAGCCCAGGCAAGGCTGTGCCGAAACTAAGGGGGAAAAAATCAGTTACCATCCAAATGGATATTTCTGCTTACCGAGGCCAATTCCTACACAGCCGGCTCCTCCAAGGATGTACACAAAGTATAGGAGTCAAGAATGTGCAGAGAGGGAGAGAGGTGGCTCAGTGGGTAGGAATCATTGCTGTTCTTCCAGAGGCTCTGGGTTCAGTTCCTAGCACCCACATGGGGTGGCTCACAAACACTTATACAGTTCAAGTTGATCTGACATTGTTCCAACTTCTATGGACACTTGCATACATGTAGCACACATGTATCTTCACAGTCCTCACACACAAAGCACAGAAGAAAACACTACTTGGGATTGTCAAAGAAAAATGTACATAATCCCCGACCCTTGTTGAAATCTAACTCATGGCCTCCCAAACACTCATTCTCTTTTGCAATGCATCGCAGTGCTAAATGATTTATTAATTTATTTCTGACTATACATTTAATGGTTTTCCCATTTTTGCAAGAAAGTGGCAGAAGGATGGGGGATCATTACACCCTCAGGATAACGCAGAACCTGACAAATAGTGAACCCTTAAAAACAATTTCAGGCGGCTGGAGAGCTGGCTGAGCGGTTAAGAGCACTGGCTGCTCTTCCGGAGGAGTTCCGCTACCAGCACCCACATGGCAGCTCACAACTGTCTGCAACTCCAGTGCCAGGAGATCTGACACCTTCACACCAATGCACATAAAATAAAGTTAAATAAATTGTTTTTTTTAAAAAAAAAAGAAAGAAAGAAAGAGAGAAAGAAGGACAAGGTCTTGTTTAAAAAGAAGTAATTTCAGTCAACGAGTCATTATTTGGAGCTTTCTTAGCTACCATTCCCATTGTAATGTCTTCCCAAGTAGGCCCTGACCTCCAGCTGGTCCCTGCTACAGAAGCAGCAGCCCCTCTGGCCCTGCCTGTGGGCTAACAGGGCCACCACACTATCCACTCACTGTCCCAGCAGTCACAGCACAGAACCCTTTGTCCAGATTGTGGGAGGTGTGGAAAGGCAGACCCGCAGAAGGGTGTTCTTGGTAGTACTTCTGGTGAAAGTAAATAAGCAGAAACAGGGGT